GGACCGAAAGGCAAACTGTGTCGGAAAAAAGTATCGCTGCGGCTGCGGCTGCGCCACGCTGCAAGCTGCATACTTGGGTTTGAAGTTTGAAGTGAGATGAGAGTTTTAAACCTAAAAGGAGAGTTTTAAACCTAAAAGACGCCAGTTCATGCAAAGTTCATGTTTTTAAAGATTTCCTCCGATCAGGGTCGCTCGAGCTTATCCAACCATGTTAAAAGTTAAAATCCTTTGCGGAAGTTAAGTTCGGCTTAAAAACCCTAGATTATGAAATTTAGCAGCTCCAACCGCTTAATATCCAGGTTGCGATTCATAGAAAGGGCCCAATATGCCGCCGTTCAATCTTAACCATCACGCTCCCGCAAGATGACTATGTTGCATTTTATAGAGTGCTTGGTCCGGCTGCATCAACATAGAATGGTAGTCATTCTGCCTCTCAAATGTCAAAAGAATGATGGCCTTTGTTGCAGGGCACGGGCAAGCGTTTGAGAAAGCAAGTTTTGAGGCGCTTGAGTTTTAATATCCAGCGATCTGCATCCACAAGCTCGCGCAGTCAGAGAGAAGGACAGAACTAAGCAAGAAAAGCGGTAACTTGATGTGTGGGACCCAAACTGTTTTGTTGCTGCACAGCCATTTGAAAGTGAGAAGTCTACTTTGCGCCTGCTTGCTGCTTCAGGTTACTTCCGTGCGTTGCCTACATATCCTGAAGAAGCACACGAAGTCCAGACGACCAAGTTCATGGAGGGAAAGAGCCCGCCGACATTGTTTAAAGACCATGTGACCAGCTGTGGCTTTTGAATCGCTCTGGAAAAGGTCCGGCGTATGGGGCCGGCATCAGAGAAGGAATGTTGGTGGTTCATCACACTGGCATGTGTTTTTGCATGCGCTTCACGTCTTGGTCGACACATGCAGAACACTTTGGTGATGAGATTGATGTTTTCTGAATGAGCGGCCAAAGCCAGCAACTGAAGATCAGATCCATGTTGCGTCGCAGTCCTGAAAAATTGTACATCCAAACGTTACATGGCCCTTCCATTCACGGCGAGGTGATCACCCGAACCATCGAAGAAGCAACGTACCAAGTGAAGGCTTTCGTGGGTGGATTGAAGAAACACGTGCTGTTGTTGCAACACGTCTGGCCAAACTATCATGAATTTCTTTAATGGTGATGGGAACGGCCAGGTGCTTGAAAGTTACCAAGTTGTGAACGCTGGTTGCGGGTGCATTCCTGTAACAGTATGCGCTCGGCGGAAACAAACCCATCCAAAACGATTTTTATTTTTGTCCAAAAGGTTTTGGTGTTGTTGTCAAGGGAGCAGCAGTCTAGGACTGCAATCATCATTGTTAATTTGCCACATTAGTAACAAGAAGCTATTAGAAACAAGTGCCACGCTAGTAGTAACGAGTGCCTTACTAGTAGTAACAAGAAGCTATTAGTTAATTTTATTTTCATCTTCGGCCAGGAATTTCGAAAAACCCTGGAAGCAAAGGCCACACCGAAGGACGCGGGTGGGCGAAACGATGCATCTACGTGTCGCCAAAGAAGGGACTGTGCACCTCTTTGTACACAGAAATTGAACCCCCCCCCTGTGCTAAGGGGAGATTGAGTGAAACTTTGTGAACACTAAGGATCTCCAGGGTCGACCAAGGGGGGTTTGCAAAGGGGCTTTGCAAAACACTTGTAAACAAAGCACATGGGAAACTCCCAGGGTCGACGTCCTGTCCGTCTCCAGGAGCGGCAAGCAGAGTTTGAACGTTTGGCCCGGAAGGAGTCGGACCCCGGGCTGCGAGCTAACGTTGCAAGCTAACCGCAAGCTAACCCAATAACCTAAGCTCGCAACCATCTATCCAGCAGTATCCACCTAATATTCCAACCATCCCTTTTCACTTGGTGTACTGAGGATTGTGGCTCAGCTCGTGAAGGTGGATCTTTAGGCAACTCGGCCAGCGCCGATTGTTTGGCGAACGCCTCAGTGTGCACAAGCTGAGGCAAGTTCGGCCGTGGGCAAATGCAGAAGCCCTTCGAGGATGCCGCCTTTGCTCTGGAAGTGAATGAATTGAGCCTTAAGCTCAGCTGAACGCATCTGAACGCAACATGCGGATGTTCAGAGTTGCATTGCGTGAACGCCTGCGTGAAGTGGCAGATGGGTGATGGGCGATTGGTCAGGATGGGCCGGTGACTGGTAGAGAACCATGAGCCAAGAAGCTAGAGAATATGGGTGAAAGCTAGTGAGAGCGGGCGTCATAAATCCTTTGGCTGTCCTTGGTGACACTTGGTGGCACTTCCAGAGGCCAAGCTGGGCGCCTGGAATGTGAAGACCCATTTTTGAGCAACTGTGAGACTTCACTGAGGTCACGTGGTGAACACCGACAGCGGGGTTCATATCATCCTGAGGCTTGAATAAGCAGGATGGACACGCAAGCCAACGCTCTGACTGGTGGTCCAGATATGTCGCGATGCCGCAACACGGCAGGGCGTTTCATAGGCGCATGTACAAAGACAGGCTTTTAAATGACAGGCGGATCTCCAATTTACAGGCGGTGGAGATGTGGGGAGAGAAGAATGATGAATGATAGATGTTTGTTATTTTTTCATATGTTTCTTATGTTTGCTGTGGCAAATATGCATGGTTCATGGTGACATAGAGATGCCAATAAGAACTGATAGGACTCTAAGATCTTTCCTACCCACAGATCACCCTACCTGTGGAATCTGATGCGACCGTATATCGAGATCCTTTCCCCAGCTGAATGTTCAATGAAAACAACCCCCCATGGACTGTAACAGCAGATCTGTATCGAAGTCTAGGTGGTGTAATGTGTGACAACTTACACAGTCTGAAAAGCTGAGGGATGTGATTCCACTATCACTGGCCGGCCACGCAGCCACGCACCACCTTGCCAGAGTTTGTGGTTGACTGTGAAACTGCTCTCATTGGCAGAGAGAATTCAAGCCATCTTCTTGTTTGTTTTGAGTGCTGATGTGCGCGTGTCAGCTTGAGGACCTCTTACACTTTACAGACGGAAAATTGTTTCAACTTGCCAGTTGAACGAAGAAAAAAGGATCGCTGAGCTTTGCCGACTTAACGGATTCTCCAGATCAGGCCTCCCGGAGTGGTACGGTACGGGGTTTGTTGTGGAAACGTTCCTTTTGAAAGTCAGGCTCGACGTGTTTGTCATCCCCTTCAGGTTTTCATGTTTAGCTATCCCATCTGGCTCCATATCATGTTCTCACCATTGCAGGTCGCGCCCCCTCGTTGCACAATTGGTGCCCCCCAGGCTGGGATTGCCAAACATGTGGCAAGCACACGGAATTGTGACATGACAATTGAGACTGGTGTTCTTTAAGAATATGGTATTTGGAAAAACCTTAGCAACTATACAGCGAGCCTTGGATAGAACTGTTGCATCATTCCTTGTCCGATTTATGAAACGCATTGCAGCATATTGCAGCTGGATTGATCCAACATGTTTGAGAGCTGCATGGATGTTTGTTGCTGCAGTTTGGAATAGTGAATAGTGCATGTGTGAAGAGTGAGAGGACACTAGAGACGTAAATTTATTTCTCTAGAATCTTGAATTGCTGGAATTGTATTGAGTGAATCTAAGGGATGATTACTTTCACTTTGTATCGCTAAAGGAAATGTTGATATTGGTGGATCTTCCTTGTTGAACAGCGAAGGACTAGGCCGAAACCTAAAGAAAGGTCAACAAAGAACAGCAAGGATCTGCCAATGCAAAGTCTCTGCGAAATCCAATCGCAAGAAAGCGACTCTCTCTCTCTCACTCACTCTCTCTCTCTCTCTCTCTGACTCCCTCCTCCCTCCCTCCCTCCCTCGCTCGCTCGCTCTCTCTCTCTCTCTCTGTTTGTCTCTCTCTCTCTCTTTTTCGCTCGTTTTGCCAGGACATTTGGAACATAATAGAGTTTGTTTTAGGCAGTGATATTGCATGAAGGCGTTGGCAAGCTACTTGAGAAGGCAAGATATCCACAAGTCACAAGCCGATGTTTGCCCGCAGCATTGATGCTTGCGGCGCAGTTGTTTTGCCCACGTACAGTGAGGATACAACAAGATCCCAAGCGGGGATAGATGGAGATTGGAGAGCTAGAAATACCGCAACAAGAGAACTTGACACAAATGTCGCAAGACTACCTTGGACAAAGCTCGAAGCCATGTGAACCTCACTGGCCCCATCTACGCCATGCACGTCGTTCTTCACGACAGGCCTTTGTGCCTCGCTGGGCCACCCCGTTGCCGGCGGCCTTGCCAGTGCCGGGCACTCCGGCCCTGCCATTGGCCACGCCCCTGGCGCCGCTGGTCACGCCGGTCGGCCCGCTGCCGGGGTATCTCACACCCTCCGGGCCGCAGGCGAGACGCGGGAGATAGAACAAATACGTATGAAAATAGAAGGAAAACATGACATAATGTAAAATCATGAATCATTAGAACATGTATAATCATTGTTGACCTTTCATTGTTTTGTGTTTTCCGTTAGACCTTTAGACCTTTCCTTTTTTCTTTGCGATCTTCAAGCCTTGGTGGAAAGTGGAAGAACTCAATGCAGCTCCCAGTCGTTGGCATGTGTGGTTGTGTATGTTTGGGATTACTACGGGGACTTGTGTGACAGTGGGACGCTCTGCAGTCTTGCAGACATGATTTGGTCGGGTTTGAGTCACTCCAGGTTCCAGATCGTGAGCTTCCAGGCTGGTCGTTCTGAGCTGTTGGTTTTCCATGGTTTTCATGACACTAAAGCTGTTTATTCTTCCTTTTTCCAAGCCCGACCTGGCCTCCTACTACTTATATAACTAAGTAGGCACCTGCCGCTGACGCCTACTTAATTAAGTGAGGAAGTAAGCTACTAGAAACTGGACGTGGGATAGCTCACGCACTAGTCATTTGGTTCCTAGATCTTTAGGAAGAAGAATCATTTGGCACGTTCCATCGAATGCTGTCCCCTTAAATAGTCTCTCTCGAATGGTTGACTATGACAGACTTGAGTCCAAACCAGAAAAAGGTCCACAGAGTGTTGGACTTGATTCCAACGTGTGTCAAATCCTGCGTTGGAATCAGGATTGGCGAGATCCGGCTCACAGCTGGGGTCCAAGAGCAACAGTGTCAACCAGCTCCGGTGTGACACCGATGGTTCCGAGAGGGTTCCGGGACTGCGCGGTTTCGTCTGAGGTCTACCATCATTACTGCGCATGTAAAGGCAGGGGTCGGATGGGTTTAAGAGCTTTGTGTTTGGATGATTTTAAGATAGTTTAAGCATCAGAGATTGTGTGGTTGCCTTAGAAGGACGTTGGAATACAATCAGAGAGACCCATTGAGACTACACATGGCAAGATTGCTGTTCGCGTGGCAGGTGCCACAGTGCAATAGCCCGACTACTCCAGTGCGAGCGCCGAGGACTCGAGTCTTTCGGTGTTGAGGTGCGCAAAGTGTTCCAACCTAAGAGCGTTGGCCTCCTCCCACCTAGAAGCGATGGCCTCCAACCTAAGAGCGATGGCCTCCTCCCACCTAGAAGCGATGGCCTCCAACCTAAGAGCGTTGGCCTCCTCCCACCTAGAAGCGATGGCCTCCAACCTAAGAGCGTTGGCCTCCTCCCACCTAGAAGCGATGGCCTCCAACCTAAGAGCG